AAGAAGAACTTCACAGACATGCTTCGGTGGTATATCACGTTTCGTCATACTCTTTTGGCCATCATACCGAAGGTGTTTAAAATTGTCAAGAAGTCTTCCATAGCTCAACCGAACTGAGCTTTCGGCTCCATTAACGCAAAGGGGGAGATTGTTGGGTATTTTATGTTGCGTCATGGGCTTGTTTTTGTATATCCGGATTGGGCCTGTCCATCCGTGAATATAGATTAGGGTTAAGCTATAAATAGTGCATGCATGTATGCATTAGATACGTTCTTGATCATTATTATTATTGCTTTTGTAACCCTAAACACCTCTACAGTCGAAGTTCTTAATCGAGCTCTTCTGAGGTGTTAACGTTTAATCATTCGACATCAGTTAAACCATTCTTGTGTTCATCATTACGTCTTTAATTGTTTTTCTGCTTAGAATCTATCGATCCTACTAGAACTTTGTTCTAACAGTTGGATTGCTAATAATATATGATCCTATAGGGTCACACCTTTATCAAGTTGACACATTTTGTATATTTATTATTAATATGATTATTAATAAATAATATCAATTCTTGTATTTAATTAGGGAATAATTATTATTTTGTGAAAATAATAATTATAAGAGAGTATAACTACTTATTATTTCATATGATATAAATTAATAAGTTATGCAAAACTTTTTAGACTAGTTGGATTCTTTTGTCTTTTACCTAAAGACAAAGTTTATCTTTTATAAACTGAGTTTATAAAAAATATAAAAAAAAATCCTTCTCTTTTGAAGGGTATGGCCGAAAAATCGTATTTAAAGAATGGAGGTTGTTTGTCAACCTCCATACCATGTCTCGCATGCTTCTAAAGGCTACCATTACTTTAGAGTATTTTAATGGAAAGCCCTTACATTGCATGGGATATAAAATGAGAGCTTCATGCATGAAAATTTGCTAGTTTTTTGCTTCTTTCTCCATATAGCCGAAACGTGTCTGATCCCTTCACTTCTACGAATCCTCCTACTCTCTCTCTCTCTATTCTCTCTTCTCTCTCCTCTCTCTCTCTCTTCTTCTTCTTCTCTTTCTCTTGAAGTTAGTTTGGTGGTTTAAAGCTTCCTTGAGTTGTCTCCTTTAGTGCTTATTTGAGTTAAACATTTAAAAACTTAAGACACTCAAGAATACAAGAAGGAACAAGCATTCCAAGTGTCTTACTCTTGATGGTGAATACACATAGAGAAATCATATTCTTTGATTTTTGTAATCTTCATCAACACCCCAAAACCAAGTGGATTCAAAGGCTTCAAATGTTGTCATTCTAAAAACTCTTTGATTGTTTTTATTTCATTCTAACATCTATAAAGGAAACCTTGATGGTTTGGTTTTGTTATAAACTAAAAATAAACTTGTTATTTTTAAAGTCTTCCGTTGAGGTTTTTGTGAAAAATAAACTTATATTTTGTATCAAAACCTATCAGAATAAAGAAGCAATTGATCTTTGTTGAAGTTGAGACTAGGAATCGCATCAAAATATTTGATCCAAATTCTTTTGAGGTTCTCTCACTTCGGTGTAATTCTTTAGTTTCTTCGATTTTTTCACGGCGGACTTGAAAGTGGGCAAAGTTCCAATCCTTTAATGGGCACTAGGGTTCTTAGGTGAAACCTTCCAAAACCCAATTTTTCGTCCTCGTGGTCGGTGAAGATTTTCGCATTGGCGATTACAATCACATCTAATGAATATATATTTCCTTCTTCATTGACAATGTAAGCCAATAAACAACTATAATTGGAGTGAGAATTAGAGCAATCCGACACAAGTCTCTCAATACCATGGAGACCTTGTCAATTGAAATTGAGACAGCCGGTGCAATGTCGAAAGACCAAAGAACAGGCATGATGTATATGAATCTTGTAGAGGTGTGTCATCGTCCACTACTGCCATTAACTCCACAGACGTCGGATTACATAAAGACGTTCTAGTTCGCTTTCTTATCGTCATCAATGAACACGAAGGGCGAATGGGTGTGCCAATGAAGAGATAGATACGTTGAGAGAGAAATTGGCGGGGTAGGTTTATGTATTTCTTTATTATTATTATTATTAAGTTAGTCTAAAAAAGGTAAAATAAATTAGAAAAGTGTATTCTAGTCGATTCATGTGGCTTAGGGACTACCCATGAAACAAAATGAAACCATGAGAACCGTTATGTAGTTTTTCTAATAATTATAGTCAATGTTCTACCATTTGCAAACCACAGGGACTATTTATAAAATTTTGTCATTTTTCTAAAGTATAATGTCTTTTCGAAAGAGAATTACAAAGAAAAGGTTTACTTTTGTTCATGCCTAACGTTCTTTTATTTAAAAATCAGTTCACTTTTAGTTTCTTATCTTTTCAGTATGTGGTATCATTAGTTCATTACCTTGCACTTTCAGTCCCTTTGTTTAGTTCAGAAAATAAATCATACAACATATATTAACCGTAAAGAACCATAATAAATGTTCTAAAAAATATTAGGTTGTAGGCTTCAAAAACACTTTTTTTTTTAAGATTTTAGTAACAACAAATATATTACTATGATTACAAAAACTAAAGTATATAAACTAACTATTATTTTCCAAAATAAATTGATTTAGAAAACTATAGCCATTTAACTTCTGATATTTTTAGCTAGAATCTTGTATATAAGTATATAATAATAATGGTTGTTAAGATCCTAATCTTGATTAAGATTTTAACATCCTATAAACCAAAAACGATTTCGATCTTACTAGGATCTATATGAAACAATATCTATAGTGGGATCTTAGGATCCCGCCCATTAGGATCTTAAGATCTTAATATGATTTGATCTCATCTCTCTAGTTTTATTATATAGTCGAAAATGAAAATTTTATCTATTCAACTTGAAATCGAGCATTGGAAGTTGCAAGAAGTCTTATAGAGCATCATCAGTTCATCAATTTATCACGAATTAGGCATGTTACACTCATGATATTCTATTTGTGAACATAAAACTTTAGTTATAGATCATAATGATCTTCTTTCTTTTTGTAATTGAGATGTTTTTTTCCTAACTTTTATGTTTTACATCAACATTATCGTTCATGTTTAAAAACTTAAAGTTGACTCCATATCGACGCCGTAATCGACATTAAGTAATAATGTATAGTGTGTTGGGAAATCTAGGGTTTATGGTGGAGATCTGGATACCAACTTGGATCGTGATATCACTTTCCGAACTGATATTTCTACCCTATGCCTGGGTTACAAGAAATTCAGCCTAGGATAATCCAAGTGGACACTTACGTTTCTAGGCACAGAAGACGTAAGCCAATATGCTAGAGGATTCTGTGAAAGTATGATGAAACGAGAGCTTAAGATCGTAACCCTCTTTTGTTGAGGAAGAGTTGTTTATATATTAAGCACGATTAGGGTTTCATTAGGGTTGGGCCGTCATTAGTTGCTTTGGAAGCAAGTAATGTTAATCCGGATTTAATGAGGATTTAGGGTTACCAAAAACTAACGAGTTTCGTTAGTTTTACCATAATCACCCTCAAGAAATTGAATTTTCCATTATGTTCCCATATGTAAAATTCGGTGAGGTTTTTCAGATTTGTCACTTTCCTTCGCACGAAGAGATTCTTCAATACGAATGTGACTAGCAAGTTGAACCAATGACAGTTCCTCCTTTTGATGTTTCAAGTTATGTTTGAAGTCTTTCCAGGAAGGAGGCAGTTTGTCAAACTGCCTCCGTCCTGGAAAGACTTCAAACACAGCAAACTGTCTCCGTCCTGGAAAGACTTCAAACATTGACAAACTGCCTCCGTCCTGGAAAGACTTCAAACATAACTTGAAACATCAAAAAGAGGAACTGTCATTGGTTCAACTTGCTAGTCACATTCGTATTGAAGAATCTCTTCGTGCGAAGGAAAGTGACAAATCTGAAAAACCTCACCGAATTTTACATATGGGAACATAATGGAAAATTCAATTTCTTGAGGGTGATTATGGTAAAACTAACGAAACTCGTTAGTTTTTGGTAACCCTAAATCCTCATTAAATCCGGATTAACATTACTTGCTTCCAAAGCAACTAATGACGGCCCAACCCTAATGAAACCCTAATCGTGCTTAATATATAAACAACTCTTCCTCAACAAAAGAGGGTTACGATCTTAAGCTCTCGTTTCATCATACTTTCACAGAATCCTCTAGCATATTGGCTTACGTCTTCTGTGCCTAGAAATGTAAGTGTCCACTTGGATTATCCTAGGCTGAATTTCTTGTAACCCAGGCATAGGGTAGAAATATCAGTTCGGAAAGTGATATCACGATCCAAGTTGGTATCCAGATCTCCACCATAAACCCTAGATTTCCCAACATAGTGCACATCCCAAAACCTTCATTTTGATAGTATCTTGTGATCCCAATTCGATCATACGATCACGATCTTGCAACACACAAAATGATTTTAAGTACGATCACAATCTTGACAGTCTACTGTAACCCGTTAAAATACTCCAAATACACTTTTGATAAAGAGAAAATAAAAAAAATAATAAATAACCATAAAAAATGTTATCGTATTTTCTTTATAACAAACTTTTAATAAATTTAAAAAAGATAAAAAAAAATATAACCGTCTTGTCTAAGTGAGACATTTCGGACTATATAAAATTTGTTCCGACTAACTTTCTCACATCAAAAGTACATTCCGTGGCAATAAAGTATATTTCGGAATTTGGATTTTGTATATCGACTAAGAACAGAAAAAAATCCAAAATTCCAAGAAAATGTTCAAAACCGATGACAGCTCTGAAATTTCAAGAACATAAATCTTTTTTTTTACTAAAATCTAACAAAGCCTTTGAATGTGGTTTAAAGGTTCAAGATTCACGAGAGACAACTTTCAACAGTTTGTATAACATGTTTCGGTATCAAAGGGTAACGACTCCATGTTTCATATATATACATTATATATATAAATAAAATATATATCATAAAATATAATTTTGAACATTCGATAAGCTTTTCTAACCTCATAAGACTGTGTACATGTTTGGGTATCGGAATTGTAAAATTAAGCTACAATTTTATAGTTATGTTCAACAAGTTGTCTCCAAAAAGGATCAAAATGTGCATTTAGAACAATAGGATTGCTCCTATGATCAACACAATAACAGAAAACCCCATTGCCTGCAATCAAAAAATATATTAGTCTGGGCATCATCTTCCTTCGTTTTGGAGGCAGTGTGATTTTACGGTTTTACCCTTGATTCAAGAAGTCAAGAACTAACCGCAATTGCAGAAGCAGCAAGACCAGCGCGTTCCCTAGGATCTCTCTTATAGTAGTTTCCAAAATAGAGAAATGTAGCATAGTACCACATCAATGGAAATGCAAACCCTAGTAGGAAACTGAAAAAAGACATAACCTAATAATCATGAGAACTAGGGTAGGGTAGGGTAGGGTAGTTGATTGTGCAAAAGCTGAAAAAACAAAGGATACTTGCGAAAACCATCCAACTCCACAGCCAAAGCAAGGAAGAGGTTTGTCATAAATCCCTTGTTGGAAGTCATCTGCATCATCTCTAATGAGGGTATATTTGTCATTGTCACTGTTTGTTGTAAAGCCTGCTGCATCAACATTTTTCTCATTTTGGTAATTTAACAATTTCGTTTTGTTTTGTGGTGTCATGATTTTTGATGGAATGGAGATTGGTGAATTGCCTAATTGAAAAGGTTGTTTTTTTTACCTTTAAACATTGAGAAACAGCGAGCTGAGGGCCTCAAAAGATCAAGATTCTTATCTGAAACTGATTTCATGAATTCAAGCCCATATTTTGAAACCTTTCCTTCTTCCATAGAAGCATCTGTGAAGCAAGAAAGTTCCGTTTTATTATCATTGGTATTAGATTTAAGTGCTCCATTTCAAAACTAGGTGATAATCAACATATCTTCTATCTATTGGTATGATTATAAATATTTCAAGTTATGTTGACACCCACAACATTCCTATCTTTATTTGTTGAAGTGTACATGACATCCAAAAAGTTCAGATTGATTACTCTGATCCATTTGCACTTGTTAATGGTTTCAGGCTGCTTGCCACCAACTTCTCCCTCCACCTGATTTGTATGATCAACAAATGATCCAAAATTTAGTCCAATATGATAATCACGCTATACCCAATTCTAGCACGATTGTATCCCACAGAGAATTTTATCAACAGTTCATGGAAGTAAATCAAGTAATTAAAAGTTAGCCATAGCCAGATTAAAAACACTAAGAAGATGCATTTCTCTAATGTAAATCTCAAGAAAATAGTGTCCATGAATTCAACCATTCAAAAAAGCACATAACTAACTCCAAGTTATCTGGTAAATTTTCGATTGAAACTGCAGAATTAAGTCGGTTAGTCCTCTAGGTATTTGGTTGAAGCATATACGACTGAAAGCAAAAGTGATGATATGGTGATGCTCTTAAAGACGGATGTTGATCCTCCTAACGAAATATGTAGTTTTGACAAATGATCAAACTTCAACGTTCAAGATCAACGTAGATATATTAACAAGCTAACAAAAAACAAATCGGGAATTATTTTGAGAAACATCATACGAAATCAGTAAAACAAATCAGTAGGCCAATCCAAAATTCAAGATACTCAAATCGGTTTTGATGATCATAGAGATGTTGAGCGAAGTCAGCAAGAACGAAACCAACTGACAAAAAAACGCCAATTTGAATTAAGGAACACCTGTGTAACAATTCTTTGAAGAGGAAATCAACAGAAGAAAGAAGGATGTTTGCCTGATGATGATTCCTGATTGTTCTTAATTTCTCTTTCGGATCAGAAATCAGAAATCGCCCAATTTAGGAGTCAAGTAGTTCCATCGAGAGAGAGAACTGAGTGCAAGAAACGCTTAAATTCTCAGTATTAATTGATCAACTCGCGCAAGAGTACGGCAACATCCATTGACTCTCTCTTTTTCTCTTTGGTGCTTTGTCCCTTTAGAACAAACAAATGGAACAAAAAAATCAAGTTGTGTTAGTTATTTGGAAGGAAGCAAAGAAAATCGAAAATCAAATTTTAGAATTTTATTTTTTGGTTTATTCATGTCCGTATTAATATTATATTTAAAAATGAAATATATTTGAACCTAAGAATATATTTTTTATTCATATCAATTGTATTCTTGTTTTTAAAAATATCGATGGATCCATCAAATCTAACATATACAATTAATATTATATTTAAAAATGAAATATATTTGAACCTGAGAATATATTTTTATTCATATCAATTGTATTCTTGTTTTTAAAAAATATCGATGGATCCATCAAATCTAACATATACAAACAAAAATTAGCTGTTTTCTCATATTGTCATCTCGAATTATAAAATATATCTCATAAGAATGTCTATGATATGCAGAAATAAAATTAATAGGTATATATATATATATATATATATATAGTTAAAATAACCAAGTATTGTCATTATATTGAAGTATATAATAAAGAAAAACATCTATTATAAGTTGAAATTTGAAGAATTATAATAATAGTAGTACTTATTGAATGCAATTCACAAAATATAATACAAATAAGTATTTGTTAAAATAAATATTTATTACGAACAACATGGTCTTAATAACTTTTATCAATAGGTTAGACATAAATAAAATCATGTATACAGCATGCTCTACAATTAACATTATTTTTACCATTAACATAGTTAATTCGAAAAACCCTCCTTACGTCATTTTCTAATTCGAGTGTTTTTTTTTTTCAAATTCAACCATTGTATTCATTTTTTAGTTAATTGGAAAAATCCTTCTTACGTCATTTTTTTATATACACTGGCACAAAGCTCCAAACCTTCTTTCTCTTATTTATTTAGTTACTAAAATAAAAACAAAAAAGCAGACATTATATTCCATTTCCGGTTTGCCTGGGAGTGGGACTGCCATTTGTCATGTCCCTTTAGCTATAAAACTAATTACTTTATAATATAATTAGTTTTTATTGTTTAAATAATATGATTATGATTTCTTTCAATCATCTGATTATTTAATAATCAATAACTACTCGTTCTAGTCAAATAATCATCTGATTATGGTTTCAACAATAGTTGTTTTTATGGATTGAATACATAACATTATATTCTGAATCTTTTATACAAACTGCTGCAGACTATTCTAGAAATAAATGAATTCCTTAAATGATAAATTGTAACATTACATGCAAAATAGTTGTCAACAAAAATGGATTTTAAGATATTGTAACAAACTAACTAACCATCCTCCTTGCTAGGGTACTCCATTTCCTAATCAAAATCCTGCAAAAACCGCAACACAGATTTCATAGTTGAGAAAAAAAATTCTAAAAAGTAAATAGAATAAAAGAAAGAAAGTGGCGTACCTTGATGATGGAGAGAAAGTCTGAAGGCAGAAAGAACATAAGATTTGAGTATTGTGATTTATGAATTATGATATGAATGAACTGATTTTTATTAAGAACATAATTGGTATGTACAGGTAGGGTAGGGGCATTGTCCCCTCATCTTTAAATGCTACAACCAGAATTCGTGTTTTCCTAACATATAGTGAGAGACACCAGAAACCAACTAAAAACTTATACGTAGTAGTAAAACCAAAAACAAAACAAAACATTTTTTTTACAAACTTCTAAGTTACTATATTTTAAATAATAGACCACCAAAATCCATCCATCCCTGGTCCCACACCCAATCGCGGGCCGCCATGTGTCCTCACCACCACTTTATCATCTTTCATCTGTGTAAATGTTTTTTATACAACATTTTTTGAAAAAGTTTAAACCATCATATTCAAATCCGACAAATCATCCATTGGAATCTCAAGCCCCAAAAAGTCATCATCTTGTAAAATATCATCATCGATATTCAACCATGACCCTATATCCTGCCCTTGTTCACCAAGATCATCACCAACACCAAGCACATCCATTTCCGGGAGTGGCAGATGTGAAAAGTCAAGTGGCTCCTCACAATACTCATCCTTTTCTTTTCACAATTATGCTATTTTCCAACTTAACAACTGCGGAGGGCAAATTCGTCCTTCCCACCGGACCGTTAAGAGAAGCGGTTGTTTTTTGCTTCAATTTCGTTTTCGTTTTCCTTTCCCCCTTCACGGATGCCGGGCGACCGATTTTGGGGGGCCCGTTTCTTGAAATGACGCCACTACCCTTCCCTTCTCTATCCCTCTCACTCCTCTTTCCTTTTGCACTGTTTAAAATTGTGGCTCCAAATCCCGAGGGTATTCCGGAAGAAGAAGAAGTACCCGCAACAACATCATCTAGATATAACTCTCTCTTTTTTACCCTGCTTGACCATACATCATCTTTCCCAATAGTTTGATCAGGTAAATGAAACGTGTCAGAAGAATATATGTCATGGTTGTGGTTGTTCAACGAAGGGCTTTGTACTTGTACACCTAATTTATAAATCAAAATAATAAATACACATCCGAAATAATTATGAATAAATAAGAAAAGAAAATACCTGAAGCATATATTTTATCAAATTCGTTATCGATTTGTGTGTCGTTTAAGTGTGAAGATCTATTATGGAACATTTCTTTGTATAAAGGCTCATTGAAGCAGCTGTTGCCTGTTGTTTCAAACTCATGGCATCGGTCTAGTGTTCGTCTCACGAAACCTAAAGCAGCTTGTTTCGCCATTTTGCTACCCACGCCTTTTCCCCCGGGCGCATGTGGACCCCAACAACTCTGTTGTGGTAAATTAATATATTAATAATCCACATCATCAAAATCACGATTTTGCCATTTCTATAAATAACAATTTTAATGCAAAAAACTAACTTACCATGTACTTTTGGTATGCCATTGCAGTGAGTTTGTCCAGACAATGTCGTTCAAATTCCCTATACACACATAAGTGGACATGTTATAAATTAGTATCTATATATAAACAAAAAAGTCAATTTGATGTGATTTTAATAAAATGATTCAAATCCTCACTTTTCTTGAAGCTCTCTTGTTTCATTGGTGAACTCCATAAGGTTATCAAGCAGACTTTTCTTCCTGGAAACCTATTTATTTAACAACTAGATTATATGAGATGAATCACTCATATTTCCCAATTTTTTTACTCTAAAAAAGATTCCCACCTGTTCGTGATGTTTTTCTTCAAGTCGACTAATTTCTGCACTGATGCCTTCATTCCCTTTTGGTAAATCAGGCTGAACAATTAGAAGAAAAAAAATCTTGAATGTAAATTCTCATTTTAGAGGGATGTAAAGAGTAAATATAAGATGAGAAAGAGAGAGAGAGAGAGAACTTACCACTAGCTCTGGATAAATTCCAATACTCTGAATCTCAATAAGAAGTCTTTCATTTACGGACATGTTACTATATTGATATTCAGAGAAGGCAGTGGCACTGCCAGGTGTCATTGCTAGATCTGGAAGCAGACCATTGTAGGAAGTATCAAAACCTGAATCTGGTATGGACATGATATGATTATTATTCCTATGGCTATGACCACTGAAAGTCGACCGATGATTGAACGCATTTGATTCCATGTCTGTTTCAAACTCAAATCCAGATCCAGATCCATAAACATTATAAGTATGTTCATCAATGTTTCCTTCTTCTGAGATTAAAGCAGCAAGAAGTCTCTGACACAGGGGAATCTGAATCTCCCCTGGACTTGCAAAATGTTCAGGGCTTCTGCTTTCTGTTCCATTAGAAAGTGCACCACCACTATCTATAACAGCAGCCTGAATACTTCCCTATAAATAAATAAAAAAATTGTCACGTGCACGATAGCATAAGAGAAAATGGGTATGTGCACAATAGCAGCCTAACTGAATAACTGATTATCACCTGTTGCTTTAAATACAACATGTCCATGTCAGATAAAAAACCAAACAGTGGTTCCATCTGCCTCCAGAATGGGCTGGACAATGCATGATCTGCAACCATTAATTTATCAATTAGTATTATTTTTTTTTTCAAAATAACTGTGTTCAAAAATCAAAATTCAAATAAGAATATATAAAGGAGAGATTGGGATTTCGAACAGTACTAGGATTAATAACCGCATTAGCTGCAGCCAGAAGCTCTTCATGTCCATCATCAGATCCAACTAAAATAAAAACAAAGAACAGAAAAGATGAGAAACTGTATAGACATAATCATGACTCATGAGTTGACTAGTCAACATTTCATATACCAAGAAAATCAGCTGCTGAATTGATCGCGGTATGTTTCTGACGCGTATAAGCTTTGCGGTCAGAAAGCTTCCTAGTTGGAGGCCGACCGGTTCTACTGTAGAAAAATCCACATGAATGAACTTTAATAACAATTTAATAAAAATATATTTTAAAAAATATATATATTATCAAATGTACAACCTTTCAGACTTATCAAAACCAACTCGAGCTGTTCTAAGTTGTTTTGCGGTCCCCATATTACGAATCTTCTCAACCGCATGTGGTGCACCAGCGCGCACAGAACCAAAACCCCGGCCCCCGGTTCTCCCTTGTCTACGAACACCATCACCAATATCTTCCCCATTCACAATCTTATTCTTTCTGGTTGGCAAGACTAAAGTTGACATTTTATGAATATTCTGTTCGCTTTTTCCTTCTTCATCACACTTCTTACCCTTATCCCTAGATCTAATTTCAGCAGCCCCAGACTCTTCACTTTCTGACAAAGTAGAAGAAGCAAAATGATCGCCTTTTGATTTGAACTGCTGAGGAGAACTTGCAAACCGTTTGGAGGGCCCAGTTGGACTACCACCAGTGACATCACTCGTGTCCAAACCTGGTGTTTCATCGTTATTATTAGTGGGTAAAATTGGGAGTAAATTGGTTCGTCTAGCTGTACGTGACATCTTTTGTGGTCTCCGCTCAGCCCACTGTGTGACAGGTGGCGATGATGACCGTGTTGCGGGGGTCCGTTTCCGGTTACCCGACCCAAACGGACCCCCCGGGTTCTTGTTTGTAACTGTACCATGAGTCAACTCCCAATCATTATTAGTTGCACGTTGACCCATTG